TGGTCCGACGCTGGCGACACAAAGGAAAAACTGAGACTTCGGAAATCATTTACTAGTCGACTATATTTAATATGTCGTTTATCTGCCGACCCTTGACATCATCTATAAGCAATYTATTTTGGATCGGCTATGTATTTTGAAATAAAAGTTGTTTAGTTTAGCTAWATTGTTGGACTTTACATCGCGAGCGCGTGGTTTACTACTACACAAGTTTCAAACCTTGTTATTAACTAATTAGATGTCGTACACTTATACATACCGTTTGCTAAGCACATGGCTGCCAAAACGAAGGCAACTATCATGACTCCAAGGCCTTGATTGAGATTCATCTCCAACGGTTTGGTTCGTCTAAGCAAACCCTTCTTTTTTGAATCAATGAAAATACGATCGTGGCTTAACTAAATATTTGCCGCTTTAAAGATGTGACCTCTACAGAACGCTCCGCGGCGACAAGTGTATCTATGTCTGTTGTCTGCATGATCATTTATATAACATCCGTCATGTGATAGGATTTTAATTCCTTAACATGTTATGACAGGTGACTATAAAACCAAAAAATGCCCTGAAATAGATCTTGAGCAAACAAACAAACATACAAAAGCAAAAAAACAAAAAAACAAAAAACAAAAAGCCCGTGAAATTCTTAATGTAGTAAAAAGAACGTATTCATTGTATATTTGTTTTTTATATTTAAAAAAGGGAAAATACGGTTTAGATCATCGGCATGCCATTCCCCTGCCATACATTGCACTTAGAATTAAATATATGAAAACCGGTGAGCTTGTCTTGAATAATCTTGAATGACCGGACCATAGTTATGAGCGGACCAAGCCGAAAAACGGTTCATCCGTTACAGCCCTTAGATATTTCTAGATCCTTCTTTTTATGCGTCCTTTTAATTTCTTACCCAGCTACTACATTTCTAGCAACATGCCAAGAAGTAAAAGAGAGTTTTCCTATTAARGTTCAAATCATAGGGCGAAGGCTTTCATGAAAATTCAAGACCGAAGACCGAAGCTTAGGAGTTTTGAACTAGTTGTCCAGGTGTGGTCTGTTTTTTTTTCTTTTTCTTTAATGAATATGTTAAGTATTAATTACCACACCGCACAAGTTCAGACATGCCTGGGATCCACAGTCTTAATTGGATGACTATTTCTGATGTATGATGCAACGTCCGCTTCGTTTATCYGCCTGTCAAAGCATTTGTACTCGTCTCAAGTATGATGATGGGCTGTCATAGGATTTATCTGCGAGTCGAGAACGTTGAAACTACTGAGAACTACTGAGATTTCGGAAACCATTTACTAGTTCGTTTATCTGCCGACCCTTGGCATCATCTGTAAGCAATCTATTTTGGATCGGCAATTCAAGAACAATGGAGCAAGTGCACATGGTGTATTTTCGNTCGTTTATCTGCCGACCCTTGGCATCATCTGTAAGCAATCTATTTTGGATCGGCAATTCAAGAACAATGGAGCAAGTGCACATGGTGTATTTTCGGTTGTTCGGCAATTTGGAACAGATGACGGGACTAAATGAGTTTAAATTAATGCATGCATATATCATTGAATTTGTTGTTATCTCGTTAAATTAGGAATTAAGCCACAAAATCAATATATTTTCTCTCTTTCTTAGTCTTATTTGGAAAGCATCAAGAGAAAACTTAACTTTTCACAGTGCCCACACTAAACGCTGATGCGAGGGGTGTGAAAATTGAGAAACAAATGAACATTAAAATGCATTTTTTTACTACATTTTTTTAGTCCCCTCCACTAGATATATTAGGATAGCCCCACAATGAGCGAAACCAGGTTAAAAACTCATTCATGCGTACATTGAAAGACGTTTTAGAAATTATTATTAATTGTTGGTTCGCATATCTATTACCAAGATGTAGTGAAATGAATAATCATTTTAGTAAAATTTTAGACTCGAACATCAGATGAAAGACGAAATTTAGGATTAAAAGAACGGCGCCTCAGTATTCCATCCGCTCCGGCAATCATTTTACCCAAATTATCAAAACTTTTTAACGGCTCGACACCACTTTGCGACTCTTGTGATATTCTTAGAGAACATACACCTCCAAAACGACTTATTTCCTCGCTAACAGCACAATTAAACCTAGCTGAGTAATAAAATAAAGTAAATTTAAGCGACACTATCTGCGTGTCTATTTCGGTATTTTGTCAAAGGTCAAGATAAGGGAATTTCCCTTTCAAAGCTTGCGCTGGAACGGAATTCGAGTTATTTGGTCAATGCAGCCCTTGGAAATAATCTCATACTCCATTCAGTAATACTAAAACACTTTGAAATAAAAGTTGTTTAGTTTAACTAAATTGGACTTTACATCGCGAGCGCGTGATTTACTACTATACAAGCTTCAAACCTTGTTATTAGAGAGTTTTAGATTGACTTTTTTT